ACTTCAACTCCCAGAATCCCCCAGCCAGCTGGCTGGGGGATTCTGGGAGTTGAAGTCCACAGGACTTAAAGTCGCCAAGGTTGAGAAACACTGATCTAATAAGTCATCCATCCATGAACCATGAAGGCCAGATCTCAATTAACCATCACTCCAAAACAGGGGTGTCAAACTCAAGGCCCGTAGGCCAGATGCAGCCCATGGGGCCGCCCTGGAAACAGCCGAGGACCGGCCCACAGTGTTTCTGTCAGCAAAAAATGGAGGACAGGAGGGCTGCTGGTGGCCCACCTGAGATCCATTTTCGCTGGCAGACAGTTGCAGGAGGCCGTCGCAGCCGAAAATGGAGCTTTTGAGCCTGTTTTTGCTTGGCGGAGTACCCGGACACGAGTGACGTCGAGCCCTTGGATGGACTGGAGGTGGCCCATCTTGGCCACGCCCAACCCAGCCCCCCCAAGGTCAAACCCAACCCTGATGCGGTCCTCAATGAAATCGAGTTTGACACCCCTGCTCCAAAAAGGCCATTGGGAACTTTTGTACTTAGGGCTTCATGGCCCTAAGTGGTTAGAGTGCAGTACTACAGCCACTTCAGCTGACTGTGATCTGCAGTTCAGCGGTTCTAATCTCACCAGCTCAAGGTTGACTCAGCCTTCCATCCTTTCGAGGTGGGTGAAATGAGGACCCAGACTGTGGGGGAGATATGCTGACTCTGTAAACCGCTTAGAGAGGGCTGAAAGCCCTATCAAGCGGTATATAAGTCTAACTGCTATTGCTATTGCTAAGGTGCAGAAATACAGGCCATAGAATACTCTTTCCTAGGCTGTGATAACTCTAAAACATTGTTAAACAAACATGTCTACTCAGATTGTTCTGATATGGTCACTGTGCATGGGATGACCACATCAGAAAAGAAAATGATAGCAAAACTTTATACCATCACTGTAATAATTTTAGTTTATGTCTGTATATTTCAATAAACTTCAAATTGGGGCTGGGGATGCTAAGGGACAAAACGTGTAAATTTCACATCTAAAAGCCAAACCTTGCCCAAAGGTATTGCAGTCCAGTAGGACTGCTCTTTTTTGATAGATGTCCTATGCCAAACTATGCTTTGATAAACTATTCTATAAGTAATAATTTGCTTATAATTTAAATAAAACATAATGAACTAGGTTCATACAGCATGCATAATCTGAACCATAGTAAAAACAGCAGTGGTTGAGCTCATATCACTTCCTTAAACTCAAACCAAACACATTTTTGAAGAATGTGCTTTAATTTTTCTATTAGCATCCGGAGATTTACCAATGGAATTCTCATGGATAAAGGCTGCGTTCACACAAATTTCAGTCCTCTTTTGGTTAACAAACGTTTGCTGAATAAACCACTATTTATAAAAATAATAAACATAAACCACAGTCTCATCATATCTTAATCCTAGGCCAAAAACAAATAATCCTACTTCAGTTTTGCCTGTGCAATCCCTCCATAGTAAGAACTTGCTTGGTTACAATAGCTAGCTAATCTTGGACTTTCTTTTTTAAGGTGGGCAGAATGCAATCCAGAGGGGTCCTTGGATGGGAGACCACCAGGAAATTCCATCGTATAATAGCTTTGGAAATCAAGGAAACATTTTATTTATTCAATCCCACCTTTATCATTTCTACAAATACTTCAAAAGCAGCAAGCATATCCAACACACTTTCCTCCTCCTATTTTTCCCACAATATAAGTCTCTGAGGCGGGTTGGATTGAAAGAGAGGGGGTGACTGGCCCAAAGCCACCCAGCTGGTTTTCATGACGTAGGTGGGACTTACATGGCAGGAGGCAATGCACGGTACTTCCATAATATTGTCAAGAAAAATGACCCTGAAAGTCAAGCTTCGTTGGAAACTTGAGTCCATGCACACACATTTCAATTACTTCAAGTATTCTTAATTCCAGCAATCTAATGTATTGACAATAGATTAGTGCAGTGTTTCTCAACCTTGGCAACTTGAATATGTCCGGACTTCAACTTCCAGAATTCCCCAGCCAGCATTCGCTGGCTGGGGAATTCTGGGAGTTAAAGTCCGGACATATTCAAGTTGCCAAGGTTGAGAAACACTGGATTAGTGTCTGCAATAAGGCATAGTTTATGATGTTGTTGCTGGCATGCTTAAACACGTGCCAACCACAGTGATGGCACCAAAAGTCAAGCCTCACTGGAGAGTTGAGTTCATGCACACACACACTTCCACAAATGATTCCTTCGATTGTTTTTAATTCCAGCAATCCAATGTATTGACAATAGTATACTAGTGTCTACAATAATGCATAGCTTATCATGTTGTTGCTGGCATGGTTAAAGACAAGAGTACCAACCACAAGCTATTGGCAAATCTCCTGGGCATCACCAGTCCCCACTTTCTTCCCAAATCAAAACCTACCGAACACTCCCTGGAGACGAGAGACGCAGCGTTAGGAAACAGGACATTGAGCATCATTTCAGGAAGCGACTGATTTATGTTGCTTACCTGGCTTATTCCACCGGCTACTGCGAGGACGATCGTTTCCTTGGAGATATATGCCAACCACCCACCACCACCACCCCCAAAAAAAGACTCCACCACACTTGGCAGATAGGCAGAAAGTAATGAGGAAAAGTGCAGAAAGCAAAACGTTCACGAACCCTGTG